TAATTGACTTTCAAATTCAATAGTCAATTGAAGATTTTTTAATAAAGTTTTGACATCTAACTCATTCTCTGTCTTTGAAAGTGTATTGGACAAGTTCTCTCTGTTATAAAATGTTATTAGCAAACGTAATGTTCGCGAAACGCTTGAATTTTCATGGAAAATGACGGTGAATACCTTGTGATTTCGCAAAATTTAATGCACAGTATCTCGCTTACGCGCCAATCTGCTGGAAATATTGAATCGTGCTCTTCATCATAACTTTTCAAAACTCTCTTTAACCACGAATACCTTCTCGACGTATTTTCCAAAGATGAATTCTATTGTTATCAGAAAAAATGTTCAACTTTAATTGTGTTTTAGTAATTAATGTCCTGTGAAAATTGATGCACCGCATGTACCCCATCGCTTCCCCGAAATATTCGCTTATAATCGCCCAGTTGTCTGTCGCAATACCAATCGATCAATTGCTTTCTAGAATACAAAAAACCACATTCAATGACTTATTTACGTTTTTATAGATCCAATCGTGAGAAGTAATATTTACTTGACATCTGCACCCATTATATCAATTACTAAGCAAGCATCTACCAAAGGTGCAGCTTGAACGGTTAAACTTCCATCTATTGAAAAACTAAAAGAATACTTTAGAATGAGTTAACATTCACACAGTTATTCATTCATCAATAGATAACGGCACCTTGATTCAAAGTCCTCAAATATTTGATTTTTCAGTTCATTTCGCAGTGAATTTACCGAAGACGATAACTCGGCTATTTGCTTGATACTCTTGTAACTTTTAAAATAGGAGCTAAGTTGAAGAACTGCCTGTCAAAAGAAAAAAAATAGACAGATGTCACTCTTTAATATGTATTGTTAAAATTCCAATAAATTACAATTTTACCTGTAGGAGCTGTGATGTCTCTTTGTACTGTTTCATTTTGGCCATGACTTTCAATTGGTCAACAGCAGTAACTTGTTTTGAAAAACATTATTGTTAATGTTGAAAATAATAAAATAACTTATATTTCGAGAAAAGGAAAGCGTGATATATTATAATACCAAGCATTTGCAATCGTTTCAAAGCGGTAATCGACGTGGTCAAGTGTTTCTTAGCATAATCTAGGGACTTTATGTCTTGAGTAATCTCCTGTACCATTACTTCTGACTGTGAAGCCTTCTCTTTGATTTGCCTTATTTGATTGAAGAGATCCTGAAATTCACAACGTTGAAATAAATCTTTAAAGTAACAAATAATGCATCATTCCAGGTAAGTTGATTCACACCTCTATGGCCTTTTTGGCCTCTGCGACTTCTTTTGATCCTCGTTGCCCGCAATCAGTTTGCATTCTCGTGAGCTCCCTAATATCCGCCTCCATCTGACGCATTTTTGCCTGGAGTATTTTAGCCGTTACATCAATTGACGCTAGTGCATGTTCTAAGTTCATGGCAATGATAATTATCATAAAAATCCTCAATCAAATAAAAAAATTACAATTCTCATAGAAACTTTATTTACTTTCTTTTTACAAACTAACGTAGCAAGTTTTAAAGTATACTAAAATACAGAATTAGCATACGATCCGACCATTTGACAAAATTCCATGTAACATACCATTTGGAAGAATTTGATTAAGATACTCGATAGGGCTAAAATCGCAACCATCTAATGGATCATTGGTCTGAAGAATTTCCGATATCGATGATTCCAATTCTGGAGAAAATTTGATATTATCATCAAAATATTC